GGGGGTCCAGGACCAGAACTCTGCCTGAGGCAGCTGACAGGACTTGAAAGAAACCCTCAGTTCCAGGGGAGACGCGCCAACATTGTCGCCATGCTCCATGTGGAGAAAGCATTTGCGTGGAGGCGTCCGCCCCTCCCAGACGTGCAGCCGGACTGTGGGCAGACGGGCCGCGGAATCTCAGCAAAGTTTCGACAGCCTGCTCTCCAGACAGGTGGGGGGCAGCTGTCAACGGGGGACGGACAGAGGAGGCTGGAGTGATGGCCAAAGTGTTGGCGCCCTTGGCGCACCTGGTTCAGCTCAGTGGCAGCCAATTCCAAAAAGTTTCTATTTAGCCAGACATTCACGGGTCATTATCAAGTCTTGATGAAAGTACGAATAAGGATGAGCTCTGTAACGCTGAAGCATCTGCTGATGCTCATGTTAATCACTTCCCAGATCATTTCCTTTGCTTCTCATGCACACGCCAACCTTCCCACACAAACCCACGGTGAATCACCCTCTAACATCGCCTTCTGACTTCCTTAACCCAGAGCCCGCCGGATCCTGCGGTCAGATACCCTCCAGGGGGGTGAGGTGGCCACACATCCCCTTCCCCTGTTCTGCAGCTGGACCTGCCTCACACGCAGACGGTTGGCCACTCGATACAGTTGGAAACCAGGTCCAGGCGCTGTGATTTTTATACCAATAAGTGTTGACACGGGAGAGCTTCTTAAGGAACAGGGTTTTCAGCCACTCCTTGACAGTTGGTTGTTTCACAAATAGTTCTTTCAAGGAGCCCCGTTTCATCTGAGCAAGCACTTGCTGACTCACTCAGGGAGCACACGTCTTCCAGGAAGTTTGTTGGCAGCAGACAGCGGCTAAAAATCCCAGGCAATTGTTTTTCCATGATTCCATTACCAGCTGGCAGAGAGGACGAGTCACTAAAATAGGAATTTCTTCTTCGACATGAAGTCATGGAGACCACAGTGAGGCAGCCTGGTGCCCGATCTGGTCTGTCCCTCTCTGGTATCCCTGGTCCGAGCTCACAGCCACGAAACTGTAACTCCTGCTACGTGCTTTGTTGTTGAAGGAGTGTCCCACGCCAGAACCCAGACACACTCAGATGCAGAGAAATCAGCTCCAGGACAGAATGTGATCACTGAAGTCACAACGATAAATTCTGCTTAGAATTTCAAAATCCTAGTCTTGCCTGAAGTCTGATTTCAATAAGAGAATCCAGCAAATGGGAGCCCAGTTCTGGACAGAACATAGCGACGGCTGTTATGACTCAAGCCTTTACTTTCATATTTATTATAATCTTATTATGTTTCTGTTACAACCTCATTAGAGCAGAAAAGAAATGCTGAGCATCTGAAATTCACTCACTAGCATTAAAAAACAAACAGCTACAACGACGCTAGAGGAAAAAAAATCAATTGCGCAAAAGACAAAACTTCAATTTGCAGCCTTGTCCCGAGCTGGCTGTCCAGAGGAACGACCCGCCCAGTCGAGACCTCACACAGTCCCACTCACAACTCCACCTCAGGTAGCTTAGTTAAGAACTGTCCTCAGAAACACATGATTCAGTGGCATTTAATCTCAAATGGGTTTTTATTTATTCTTTAGATTTTAAGACTTGACCTCAGGTTTGCAAAGGGGGAAAGCCCTTCATGGGCATTTAAAAAAAGCTGGCTCCACACAGGCATTCTGAGATAGTTAGATGTTAGCTGATATAAATCCACTTTTTGGAAAGCAATGCCCCAAAATTCAAGAATCTTTTGGTGCATTTTCTCAGCGCCAAGCAAAGGGATTATGAGAATGAACAAGTGGTGGCCCCTGCGCTCAGGGTTTCTCAGGACACTCTGTCCACATCTATGTACATGTAACAGGAAACATTCAGGCTGTTTGCCAGGGTCCTTCCTCCTTGAAGCACTCGGCTCACACTGGCTTATTCTATTTCCATAATAAATCTAAGCAAGAGGCACTGTAATTATTTCCATTTGATAGATGAGCAAACTGAGGCAAGCTTACACAACCAGCTGTGCCAGTTTTCAGTGTATCACCCTGCACCTCCCAATGCACCCTTTTTGCCTGCTCTGTTAAAATGGATCTGGGCCCTTGGAATGTCTTCCCTCTTCCTTCTGGTGCAATGCCACACTTGGCCAGTAGAGGGAGCAGGAGGGACACCGCAGGAGGAGAGGGGCGTGGCTTCCCAGACCTAGGACAGTTGCTCCAGATCCCTGCCAGAGTGCATGGCATCCTCAGCCCAGCCCCAGTTCCTACCGGTCAAGCAGCCGGCAGCTCTGGATGGCCAGCTGCCACCCCAGCATCTCCCTCAGGTGGTGCTGTAGCAGAGTGCCGCAGACAGGACAGCTCCTCTGTATCCCAGAGAGTGGACTTCCAGCAGGATCCACCCACATGGTACCCCAGGAACTCCTCTGCACCTGCTGAGCCATGACTACTGAGTCTCCAGAAATATCCAGACCTCAGCCCAGGGCCGGAGGGCCTGCTCTTCCTCAGGGCAGCACTGCTCCTGTATCTGCTATTCCCACCTGTATTCTTTTGAGTTCTCTTTAGTCCTCACTAGCCAATCCCTTGTTACTCCAGACCTCTGTTATGATTCAGAACCATTACATTTCCCTGTTGGAGTTGCTGTGCGGTTCCTCTCTCCTGATGGGATCCAGGCTGATACCTCTGCCTTCGACCACAGACCAGGGAGCAGTGTGGGCAAGATGGGAATCCAGAGTCTGTGCCCCTGGTGGTGTGGTCAGACCACCGTGCTGGG